ATCTTGTTCCTGTCTAGGGCGCGTTCAAACCCTGACACTAACCCAAGCTTTAACCACTCGTTGCAGGGCCGCGTAAGCCGCGCCGTAGGTCCAGACTCCTACCTCGAGTCCGGCGATCTATTGTAAATTAGCTGCCAGATCAAACAAACACAATGTTCTTACACCTGGTTTCGGATTTCTGGGGCTCAAACCTAGACATTAGCCCAAACTTTAACCACTCTCTGCAGGGCCACGTCAGCCACGCCGTAGGCCCAAGTTTTTACCTCGAGTCCGGCGACCTTCTGTACTTCAGCGGCCAGATCAAACAGGCACTCGGAGCAGTTCAACCTCGAGCTGCTGACATACGAGACGGAAGCGGAGTCCGGTGAGAAGGGTTCCGCCATGGCGACGGATCTGAAGTCCGCGGAAGAGGGGGCGGAGCAGCCGACCCACGCAGCACATCTTCTGCAGGTGAGCGAGGAGTACGATTCTTTAGGGCACGTGTAACTATGACGTTAACAACTCACTTCTCGCTTCAGGTATCTTCGACCTAGTACCTCTTGTACTAGATCATTCCTGCTAGCTTCTAGATTCTAGAGTGTTCAGAGTCCGCTCCGACTTATACGAATCTGGGATCCCAGCTGTACCCAGGGCTTCTCCTTCAATAGTATTTGACAGAGGCTTGCTGGGGAAAAGAGTGTCTTGAGGAGCAGCGAGATTGCAGCTTGCGCACTTGAGAAGCAATTCCGCAGCAGCATTCCACATACTGTCACCTGAGCACCGTATCGGAGGTTTCATTATCTGAACCAAATTTTCATCTTGCATTCTGCAGGCCACTGTAAAAGCAGGGACCGACATCGTCGGCAGAAACATTCGCGAGATCGGGTTTCGCGGCCGCTTCCATGCCGCGGTCCTCTCCGTGAAACGCGGCCACGTGAAACAGCCGGGAAAACTGGGTGACGTTATCGTCCAAGGGGGCAACGTGTTGGCGACTGGTAAGTGCCAACCACAAACACAGCTGTTGACTCGATGTTGCACTTTTAGAAGAGTATCTTTGAGCATGCCTGAAGTGTCTCCTTGAGCCTACTCTGACATGAACTTCCTCTCAGCCAGAGAGAACATTCAGTTGCCGCGGGATCAAAACCGAAATCCTTGTCACACTCTGTTTTGCAATCCGCCAAGCAATTGGTTATTTGCTGCAGGGTGGCAGTGGTGCAAGACTGGTATATGGCGGAGAGTCGACTAAGTCATCAACTGAGGAGTGTTCTCTCATATCTGATTGCAGAGAAGAAGACCGTGGCAGACGACATGGAGTTCGGGCGCTTTTTCAAGGAGATCGAGCCGCTGGACCTGACCCTCGAGAAGGAGTTCCTCTCTGGTAAGTGCTGACATGATTCTGTGGAGAAGTTGAAGAATCATTCATTCATCAAACTGAGGGCGGTCTTGCTCTAGAATCGGTCTTCTACGTCGCTTCAATCGATTTCGTAAACTCTAGGTCTCATGAACAGCCAGCCTGAGTCACAAAGGGTCCTTTGAAGACCCTTGAGATTCGTTTCTGGTGTCTAGAATGAGTGCCGGCTGAAGCCTTTGAGCTCCGCCTAGCGTCATTGTCTGCGTGTCCATCTAGGCTCCTGAACCTAGCTTCAGGTCGCCGTTACCAGGCTCAGAACGATCAGATTGAGCGCTTCGCTTGCTTGCAGAGAACTGCGTAAGCTTTTCTTCGCATGGGGCTTTTGGGAATGCTGCCTGAAAAGATGTGAAGGGACCGTAGGATTTGACACAGACATGAGCGAATTATTTCTTTGGATGGACTTTGTGCAGGCATGAGGGTGACTAGCAAGTTTTCCGGCATCGGCAGGACGATCACGGAAGCCGGCCTGCGCGGAATTGAGGGCCTTTACCTGGTCGGGATCGATCGCGCAACCAGCGAGTCGTTGAGAGTGGTGCAGCCAGAGACGATCATGCAGGTGAAGTTAACCCTCTCCTCCTAACCCGGCTTACCATTCTCCGATACCTATCAAAAAGAGACCTGCGTGTGCGAGCGCCGTTCTAGTGGAAGGTATTGGACGTCTGCAAGCTCAGTTCTCGGAGGGGTATGCATGCGGTCATGCTCACCGAACGGGCAAAGGGGGTGTTTGCGATGTTCCTCGACATGGACCTCAAGACGGACACCATATCACCACAAGACTCGCAACTTCTGCGTAGAAAAGCAAGGCCTCTATTGCTGTCTGAAATAATGTGCACAGAATCACGAGATATGCAAAACGGCTCCTTGGTTCTGGTGTGTCAAATCCAGCGGGACCTGACCCAGAACATCCTGTCATTTGAACTACAATTGAAGCCACAGTCAAGTCAACATATTTCAAAGAAGCTTTTGAACTGAGCAGAAGCCGCACCCGAAAAGCTTTCCGTGCTGAAAGGAGACCTAATGAGGTTCTCAGGGAGCATAGAGAGAACGTCACGGTGGAATCGGATGTTACACGGTTCTCCCAAGTTCCCCAATACCTTCCGTCTCAAAGTAAGCCACCAAAGTTCAGAAACAAATCGTCAGCAGATTCTAAATCAAACTCCGCGTTGCAGGACGGAGACCTTCTGTGATTCTCAGGTAGCATCGAGAACGTTTACTTCGTGCTGAAGATCACCAAGCTTCCCAGATCGGTCAGCTCAAGGTCGGGATCCTCGAACGACAACTCGTCCAGGTAAGCCGATGACGTCAGCCGCGCTCTTGATGACGTCAGCATCGTCCAGCTTGTTCACTCTTCTCGGTCACGGGCCACGTTTGTAAGGGTAGCGCAGATCATGAAATGCCCAAATCTTCCTCTGCGGGACCACTTTCGCCGTGAAAGAAACCTGTTGGCGATCGAATCCATGAAGTGGAGCGTCAGCCTGAGCGGGAAGGCGTCTCATTCAATTCGCGGTGTGATGGATGCCCGTTGAGTCTCCCAGGTCAAACCAAAAGGGATAAAAAAACAAAAATTCTGCTGTGCAGGTTTCCATTGCCCACGACAGCCCTATCTCCGGCCAAACCGTTCGGCAGTCCGCTTTCCGCACCAAGGACAACGCCGCTGTTCTGGCAATCCATCGCCAGGTAAAGCATCCCTGCTCGACACAAAAACGATCCTCGAGCTGCTTGAAAGACTGTGCATTCCACAAATGTATTGAAATTGAGCTGAAAATGGAACACGATCTCCGGAGTCTGAGAAGACCTCTAAAGGGCGCAGACTTCTGTCTGCCGATCTGTTCCGCTTCTGCTAAACCTCTGTCAGGCGAGGTTCTTCGGCTCGCTACTGGAACGCGCTTTTCGCGGCGCAGCACTTCAGGCCAATTGTGAGATGTGGTCGAACGGACACGAACTTTGCGGACATTGTTATCAACAGATTATCCATCTCGAAAGCCTTTCTCCAGGATTGCTGGTAGTCTGCAGACTTCCGCTTCCGTCCGGCGAAGTACTTCCGCTAAACACCGGAACAAGCTTTTCCCCGCCCTTCGAAGAAGGCACTACATTTCAAACATTCAGAGATCAAGATCCGTTGCAAAATCGAACTTTAGTCGCAGATTCTGAAGCGCAAAGGATCTTTTCACAGGGTCAGCGCCTTTCCGCTGACGTGCAAGACATTCCGCTCCAGCCGGGCGACGTCGACACCGGAACGAGCTTTCCCAAGCGCTTCAAGGGTGACCGTGCCTTCTCAATCATCAAGGGCGTCTCGGAAACGTCACCGCTCAACTCGAACAAGATGTGGATCGCGATTGGCCTGGCAGCCGCTATGATTTCTACACAGGTTTGTAATTTTCACCGTCAGACTCTTACGGGTTTGATAAAGGTTTCCTTGAGTCTCATTCGTCGCCAAGGATTGTCCTTTGGCGAGTCAAACCCGACGCGGATTGCAATCGGATGGTCACTGCTATAGTCTATTCCACAGGTAGTGCTTTTTAATTTAGGGCGGTGAAGAATTCAGCAGATGCTTCTGCGGATAGCCGGTTCTTGACATCTGCGTGGTTGAGTCGTCCTTTATAAAGTAGCGAAAGCTCTGAAGGAGCACCGGGCACAGTCTGCAAAAACCATAACCCATTTACCGCAGGAAATATTACTTCGAAAGTCAATGTGTCTTCCGTAGCGCCTGCATGCTTAGTAATAATCTGTTCCTTTGTTCCGTTCCGTTCCGTTCAGAGTGAGCGGAGGCGGAGGCGCCGTGCCGCATACACCTACTTCTTTATCCAACAATCCATCACTGTCGGGATTTTTCCTTTTGATGGTTGCCTCCCACTCCGTTCCTGACAAGTCCGTTTCCTGGCTTCCTTCAGATCGCGAGCGGAGCAGCGGATGCTGTCCCGGAATACTTCGACCTGTTCACTGCGGGAATCATCACGGCGGGGCTCGTGCTTGTAATCGGCTGCTTTTGACTTCGTTCCTGAACTTCCGTCCGCTCGCCGTTCAGATCGCGAGCGGAGCCTCGGACGCCGTCCCGGAGTACATCAACCTGTTTACTGCGGGAATTTTTCCGGCGGGGCTTATGCTTTTAGCCGGCTGCTTCAACGGGAAGCAGGCGCGTGGCAGCACTGACTGGCGCGTATACATAACCATCGGGTTCTCGACGGCTATGGAGACGTCGGGCGTTGCGCCGGCCATTGCTGACGACGTCTTCACTGATATCATTGAGTAAACGCGGCTCTCCAGGTTGATTGAAGTATATTATGAGTTTTCGGGGGCCTAATTACAGAGGTAACGTGCTTATGCGAATCCTGTGCTTTGTCATTGTTACTAGCGCTCGGTAAGCAAAGTAGAAGAGTTTTGGTCACTGCTCATTCTGGCAAGTCGAGATGATCTAGTAGCTCTCTGACGAATCTGAACCAATCTTTTCTGCGTTTGGTCAGCTACTCCAGAATCTGCGTCACTGTCGCGGTCGCTCCCTTTTGACCTTCAAAAATTGTCCAATCTTCCGGGGCAGCTCCGCGCATTCTCCGTTTTTGACTCTGGTTGATAATCTCGTTTCGGCTTGCTTTGGACGATCTCCTCTAAAGTGACAGATAAAACCTTGATATGCGGGCGGAAGAAAGGCGGCCGCGTGCATCTCTTCTATCCGGCGTCTGCTAAGCAAGGCAGCCGGACCCTGACAGAATCCTAGCCCGCAACCTCAGAATCATAACGCTGACCACATCCGTATTACAGGCGACGCCATCGGCGGAAAGGCGGCCGCGTTCGTCGCCATTTACATCACGACCGCGTTCCTGTCTGAGATCGTGAGCAATAACGCGGCCGGCGCGCTTACGTACCCCATTGCCGCTCGGCTTGGGGACGCGCTCGGTGTCGTGCCATCTCGTATGACAGCGCACTCTTGCCAGAAGATACAGGCATTAAGTTTGTCAGATCTGGGATCCTCTGGATCTGATCCTTCTCGACGACGAAAGAAGCAACATGACGGTTTCGTCTGCTCATAAGCGCGGTGGACGAGCCCCAATAATCCGGGCGGCAAGTTTACTACTGTGCACTTCGTTTGGAACTGGGCTAGACCTCTGCTTGACTATCTGGAATGCAGCTGGTTGAGCCGCATATCTTAACCTGTCTTCAGCAGCCACTCCATCAACTTCCAACACTGCTGCAAGGAACTTTCTTGGTCCTTTGTCAAGGTACCGTTGCGACTGTCGTACGTCAATCCTGCTTTCACGAGGAATGTCGAACCACTCCAGCCAAAGAATGTTTACTGAGTGGATTTGAGTCCTGAAATAAGCGCCTTACTTGACTACAGGGGACGATTGCCGCTTCTGGTCAGCTCTTACCCTCCTTTTTTAAAGCTCACCGTTTGCATTTCACTCTAATCGCTTCTCGTCTCTCTTTTTTCAGCCGGCGACTACCGTTTCCTTAAGTTCGCCAAGTTCGGCCTCCCCTGCCAGCTGTTCATGATCGTTTCTGTAATTATCATCTTCGTCCTAGAGGAGACGATCTGGGTGTCGATTTTTATCGCAATTGCGCTTTTCGCGGCGATTCTCGCGGGTCCTTTGCTCTGGGTTGTTCTCCCTGAGTCTACGAAGGATTGGCTCCGCTTCTGGGGGCCCAAAGCGAAGGCTCAATATGTGAAGGCGCCGGAGCTGACGAACGGAAAGATTGTTGACTAGGGGCGTCGCTAGAAGCAGCGGGAATCGAGGAGAAGGGCTGTAGACTTCCGAGTTGTAGACTTTCGGCATGGTCGAGATGTAGGGATTGGTTTGTTATGATTCAATCGGATCGACTCAATATAGCGCCGCTCCCTATTTATGATCCCAAAGTGATTGTGAACAGATCAAGGGGAGAAAGCTAGAGTGTACACGGAAATTTTTCTTGACATGCCCCGCATATACAAAGAGGATAAATTTTGAACCTCTAGCTGGTGAGACACGTTTGAGAAGCATACAGTGACCCTTAATAGTTGATGGAGAATCTATGTCAGCCGAAAGCTACCCTTTTTAAAAGTTAGCCCTAATACCGTCGAGATACGCCGACACTTTGTCGTGTTCGATACCGCTAAAGAAATGCATGACATTCCTGCCTCATCAAAGTTAGTGCACCGTCATTGCCAGTCTGTGATGATGCAAGGTTGAATCGATGGATGCTGTGGCTCTGGCGCATTTTCCGATCAGATGCCATGCAACTGCCTCACATAATAGATCATGCCCTGCTATGGCAATCATTGAATCGAGCTAGGCTATGCACCTGTAATTATGATACCAACATAAGTTGCAAGATGCACAGTACAAGCAACATGGGCTGCACTGAGTGTATGATGTGTTCCGTAAGAACAAATGGAGCGGGTCTAGCTCACTGTCAGGGACTCACTCAGTAGTGACCGTCCCCTCAATGTACTGATATACCGGTAATCAGGTTTATGCACACTGAGGTTGAGCCCCCGAAGGTCGGATTGCTCAAACAGCTAACGGTGCGCGCGCGCGCGCCTCAAAGCCGCACCCAGGCATGCAGGCTGCTGCCTACTACCTTGGATATAAATAGCTACCGGTAATACTGGTAGGCGTCACTGAGTCAGATGTAGTACCGGGCCTCGTTACGTCTGACCTGCATGTCGACAGTTTTTCCCAGTATCATTAATTGGGTTGCTCCGGAGTCCGTACAGTGAACGGTACCTTGTAGCAAGCTGTAGGAACCGTAGCTCAGACTCGGCGGCGCACTTCGTTTCATCGTTTGACACCACCATCCAGCACCAAGGAATTTTCAGAATCAGGCATCCTGCACTACCTACAACAGTGTCAGGTTCAAAATTACCGTAGATCTACGGTACTGTACGGCAACTGTCCTCTGCTTCCAGATTGAATCCAGAGTCCCCATATTTTTGGAATTCCGATTCTGCAGCGCAGTGCAGCCACAGCCAGCTACGGTGGCCCAGGAGTGCTGCGCACCGGTGCCAATGAGAAGGAGGGGGCCCGAGGCTGCATTATGATGCATAGCATTCAGCTCGCCAACTTGCACCGCTGCCATATATGCAGGCGTCCCGCTATCAAAAAGACGATGGTGGTTGGCCTGGTGGTTGGTCGGATGTAGATAGGCGCCCTCCAGTTTACGTCCTGCTGCCCCAATGGCTCCCTCCTCCTCTTTGGGGGCCCTTTTCTCGGCAGTGCTGCTGGTCACACTTTGCTCCCAGCAAGGGGTCCAGGGGCAGCAGCCTTGCGGGACCACAGATAAGTGTGGGGGCTCGCTCGGATATGCCAACGCCAACGAAAACCCCATCAACATACACCTGTGCCAAATCACACCAGCCACCGTCTGCAACTTTGACATAGCAATAGGGCAAGGAAGCAGCACAAAACTGACGTTTGGATCGACGGTTGGGTATGGAACATTTGTCACACAATATCGAGCCCCTACCCAAGTAGCGCTTTCTGGCTGCTGTCAAAGCTGCAAAAATGATCCATTCTGCGATGCATGGAACCTTTACAATGGAAAGCGACGGAACTTCAATTGTTTATAATGACTGCTATCATATCAAGAGCGCCAATTGTATGGGAGCAGTTCGCGTAGAGCGCGTGCAGGATTTCGAATGGAACACTGGTGCGGGGGGGGCTGCTGCTCAGGACCGCTGCCAAAGTGAGTCACGCTCAAACCCTTTATGGAAAGTCGCTGCCCATCAGACCTCTTTCTGACTTTGGATTAAAATACATCCCACCGCTCCCCGAGCTTTGATCCTTGATTAGAAACCCTTTGAATGTCATTGGTCAAAATCAGACTCATGTAACAACAAGGGCCAATTCTTCTGGCCCTCGTCACTTGGTCCTCAATCCGGGAAAACAGTGCTTTGAGACCCGGCAATGTACGTGATGGAGCCTTTGCTAGGATTCAAATGACAGACTTGTCCAGAAAATTGTTGAAAGCAGACTCACCTTGTTTGCTGCTTCAGGCTTGCAGCTCCAATCCAGCAAGCAAAAAGGGAGCTCACATAACCTTTGGGTGTACTTGCATCCCATGCGAGCTTTCACAGCTTGCAGCCCTGTTTTATAGTCAACTTCATTATGCAGCTGGACATCAATGTGAAATGTTTGTTCTAGTGAGTATGTGTGTTCTTCTCTCTGCCTGCCCCCGAACCAAAAGTAGGCCATCGAAAGGGAGGACAAACTGATGAGGTGTATTTGTGTCCTACATAAGGGAATGTCGACATGCATTGTCTGACAATTGTAAAGGGAACTGAACATTGCGTAGTGGTTGACAACCCGCTGCCATTGCCTATGTATCGATCCATACCCACACCATCTGTTTGTGCAGACGAGGGCACGGTGAACGGCTGTTTGGACCCGCACTTTGTGGTCCAGACCTCCTCAGGCCTCGCCTCTCAGGACTTCTCTTTTGACTTCCATGGGTTGGCAAATAAGATATACTGCATGCTGGCGGATATTGCCCTGCAGGTGAGAGCATACAAGATTGAGTTCTTAGGGGCTGACCTCATATGTTATCATTCTTGATTAGTTACCGCTTTGGGGGTATTCTGCCTTCATGTTCCAGCTTGTGCTTGTTCAGTCTGGCACCATAAGCCAAAAGCAATCTTATAGACCAATAGAACTCATAGTAGAATGCTGTTGACTCCGCTGCAAGGCCAATTTAGCCTTCCAGGTCTTAGGGGTAATCCCCATGGTGGAGGGCAGCCATGTCAGCTGTACGTTTCTGATTACCGTCTAATCCCACCAGGTTTCTCTCATTTTTATTGAGTTCACAGCTTATTCTTTGAATGGATGAGGTAAAGAATCCTTGCCGGGCTGAACATGAGGAGCTACCATCGGGAAAATTCTGATCAAAGATAAACAATCAATTAAGACACATGGTTGAAGTTAACTTCTTTTTGTCATTGCCAACCTCTTTGGAAGCACTTGTCCAGTCCTGTCCAGGGATTTTCCGCTCCCCTTCGAACAAAGCACACTGCACAGAGCCTTACGTGTCTTATGTTGTGGCCTCTCCCTTATCGCTTTCCCTCATCAGCCTTTGTTGAACCAGCTTACTACATCTTGTTCCATATCTTCACATTGCCTCTTGCAGTTGAATGTGCGCATGTTTGGGATTCCGCCAGCATCCAAGGTGATTGAGCGAAAGTCGGACCTTGGGGACGACTTCTTCACCGGTACGTGGATGGACGCCATTGGCTTTGTCTATACCAGCAAGGGCGGGGCTCCAAAGAATCTTGCAATCGAGCTGGACCACGACAAGGCACGCAGTGGAGCGTTTCCCTTTCGTGTGGTACATGATGGAGAGGACCTGAGCGAGATTTTGGTGAGCCATTTGAAGCCACATGCATGCTTCTGTCTCGGGTGGACCTTGTTTGTCAAGCGGGCCAGTGTCATCTGACGGCAGATGAGATTACATTTGAAAAAGACTCATGCGGGAGAACGTTTGAAGAACTCTTGCGAATTGGAAATCGCGAGATAGCCCTATCTTGTTCCTACCAGTGGTCCTGTCCATTCACTCACAAAAAGCTTCCGTCTTCAAGTGGGCACAATCGAGCTAGGATCTGGTGCCTTAACTTCGGTCAAATTTTTTGACGTTCTAGTGATTCTAGTGGGGTGTTTTCAAATGGGTCCCTTATCTCCGGATACGGCGGAAGGCGTGAGGAGAGGGCACTCTTGTGATGATGATAGGTTGAGCCCAGCCCAATCAGCAGCCCTCTTTCTCAACACCTGTCAGTGTTATCAAACGATCATCAAGGCCCGTGATTAGCAGATAGTTTGTGGCTTTTGCCCTGTAGCTGTTCCATGAAAAGCTTCAAGTTTCGGGGCCAGATCTCGCAAGGTGCAAGTTTGGAAGAGTGAAAGTCATAACTATTGTATCTGTCAGGTGGCTCAGGAAGGTGCCACGTGGACCAGTCAAGATGGAGCCGTAACCGTCTCACGCCCACCCAATAGCGTCAGCATTCTGAGTGTTGACATCAAGGAGGTTTTGAATATGGTCGTGAGCTCCGAAACCGAGGAGGAGATCATTGTCGAGCCGCGCATCTACTTCCTCAACTTCGAGCTCAAGAATATAGTCACAACGCCTTCAGTGCACGGGGTGAGTTGAAGGGGGGGGAGCGCAGGAAGGAAGGGAAAAGAAAGTTGAAAAAGGAGGCGCCAATATTGTAAAATGGACCCATGAAAAGTTTCTAAAAGTTCAGAAGTAGGTGGCTGAACGGGCGAGCCTCATTTGCAGGCAATGTTTTGAAAGAGAATTATTTTCACCATTACCGAAGTTTCCCCCACTAATGGACTCGGCATAGAGGAACTACTCGAGGACATGGTTGCAGCCCCTAGCCTCCGAACTCCGAAATCATGAGCTGGATCCGAGAGTTGATTACTATCCTGACATTGAGCAAGCACTATTATTAACTGAGGAGCCTAGCATAAGTTGTCTGTCTAGCTAAATAATCAAGAGGACCTTCAGAACAATCGAGCCACGAGCGGCGCTGCATACAGATCTTGTTCGCGCCTTTTAACCTGATTGACTGATCATTCAGAGCAGTACCAAGAGTAGTCAGCTAATATCATCGAATACGCACGGCTTCTCTGATCGAGCTGTTTGCCAAGTTGGAGATTGGCATGGGCACCTCATAGGCATCGTCTTTTTGTTTTTGCAGGCTTTCAAGTATACCACTTTCGGGAACTTGTCTCGATGCAGCAGAGCTCGGGTTCTCTCCAGCTAACCAGGCTTTGAACCTTTTCAAAGCTTTTGTCGACCCTATAGGTGTGCAATCGGTGTTCTAACAATGCTCCCTGTCGTTGGCAGTTTTTGGGCCAGATGTATGCCCCTGGAGCAATCGAAGAACGCCTAGCGATGGGGACTCTGGAGGGGTTTCGCCATCGCGAGTACGTGGAAGGTACTGATGAGGAGTACGAGACATCCGATCTCACCGCAACGGATTGCAGCTTCAACCGTTTTGGCAAAGTGAGAACAAAATCCTCTTACACTCACGATTGGATTCCAGTATCTCATAAGACGGTGGCCGGTGGGTTAGCGATTTGTACTCGGATGAGTTGCTAGGCACGAAGGGAAAGCACTTCTCATCGTCCATCCATGTTTTCAGTCGCTTGGCCGTGACATCAAAATGCTGTAGCCGTTAAGCCCCATGTTCGGAATGTCTGGCCCTCAAGTTTGTGGGTGATCCAGTTGACTGGTTCTACATGGGGTTTCGTCCTTTTCCAGCTTTTGTCAAACTGAGCCCGTTTCAAGCGCAACATTTGATTGTCATAGAGGTTTGAAAATGGCTTCTCCTTCATGCCACTGCCCGTGCTTCGATCAATACCATAACAGCATGTGGTATGTGGAAGGTACAACACCCAAAGGCAAATTAAAGTCGTCGTTTTGGCCTCGTAATGACAGGAGCAACTAGACCCAAACCACCTTGGATTCCAGGCTGTTGAGCGGTTGACGGGTTGAGGCTTCTCATTTTGAGTAGAGGTTCATTGAAGTGGATATCAAGCCCATATGTTTTTGTCAAGACCGATCTGTGCAAATAGCAGGCGCTTCCCATACGCTTCATTGATACTCCATTTGCGGGTCGCTTTATTCAGGCTGCACGTTTGAAGTTGTGAGGTTCCGACCTGATCCCATTCTTGACTCCGTGCAGGCCCAATCTAACGCGGTCGACCTCAAGGGCACGGCTTCTTCAGACACAACTATCAACCGTCGCCTATTACAACACTCGCCTTCGATCGACACGGGGATCATTGGCCTCGCTTCTTCCCCATTTGCATGCCACTTGGTGAACAAGCGTCTAGGGGCTATCTCCATCTCATGTGAAGCCAATGGGTTGTAAAGCATCTGCCTGGCGGCGTCTAGACCGGCCGCTAAGTTCGAACCTTGGAAGGGATGCAATTGTAAAGTCTCTGGTGCTCTTATTAGCTAATAGCCGGGATTGGTTACTTGCTTGATCTTGTGTACGCTTTGACAGCGAAGAATAAGTTGTGTACAACCAGCACAAAGTTGATATTTGGTTTATAATCAGACCTACCTTGTCACGAGTTGATCGAGGGTGTTCCCGTACTTGCCAAAGTTTAAAAAGGCCCCTTAATTGTAAACCTGCAATGTCTCGTCGGTACTAATTGTCATCGAGCGTCAGTGACCTTCGTCAATTAGGAGAGATCGGAGTGGCGTCGGAGATTTCGTTCTTGATACACGCAGATCAAGTCAGTAAGAGACACATATGAAACGTCACGGATGCGACGCCACAGCCGTCATTGAGGTATGCGACGTCCATTCTGTTACATATGGTGGCGGTGTGGTCTTCAATCGCAGCTTCTGCCTATACTCTTTCGGCGAAACGATTGAAGGAACCTTCCTGTCTGGAAGTTTACTCCTTCACTTCCACGCCCGACGGATGAATGTTTCTAATATGTTTTTTACATTTCCAGCCCTTTCTATGAGCAACTGAGGGGCTTGTTTCGGGCCACGACAATTTTTCAAAAAACGGATGCTTGACCGTGTTACCACGCCGTAAGTTCCAAGTATGGTTCAATTCCAGCAATCGAACTCCTTTCCAGCGGTCAGATCGATCAGGCAGATTCATGCCCCGTCAACCCATCTTGTTCCTTTTTGTGGGCGTTGAAACCAAAGCTCCACCCGCATTTAACCACCTGATGCAAGGCCACGTAACCCACGCCGTAGGTCCAGACTTTTACCTCGAGTCATGGACGACCTTTTAAACTTCAGCGGCGAGATCAAACAATTAGCGAAGCACTATTCGGAGCAGTCCAATTACCTCGAGTTGTTAACGAACGAGACCGAAGCTGATTCCGGTGAGAAGGGTTCGGCGATAGCGACGGATCTGAACTCCGCGGAAGAGGGGGAGAAGCAGCCGGGCCATGCGGCAGAGCTCTTGCAGGTAAACGACGAGTCACTGGCACCTTGTCGCTACACGTACGTGGCTCTGCGCCAGAGCATCCTAAGCTGCTGGGGATATCAAATGACCCTAACTGCGTTCCGCCGGAACTACCAGCTCCGAGGCTTTTTGCAATGTCTGAACGCTAATGTCTGAAACAAGCTCCAAATGGAGCCACAGCATTAACCCTTGATCGCACAAAACCTTTCACTTCGTCATGACCAGAGTCGTGAAGAACCCTGACGTCGAACTTTCCCTGTGCCAAGATAAAACCTGCTAATCTCTTTAGGAAGCTTACAGAACGTAGGCTCGACCATTCTCCGGTCATCCAAAATTTATCTAAGGCAGTGCATCCTGAAGTAAGCCATCAGAAGTGAAATTTCGCTGACGTCATTCCCTTTTAAAGCTGGCGAACTTCACATTTGCAGGACGGAAACCTGCTGTGGTTCTCAGGAAGCATTGAGAATTACGTGTACTTCGTGTTGAAGATAACCGGACTAGAACACCACCAAGCTTCCCAAATCGGTCAGCCCAAGGTCCTGATCCGAAACCGCCCACTCGTCCAGGTAAGCCGATGACGTCAGCCGCGTTCTTGGTGACGTCAGCATCGTCCAGCTTGTTTGCTTCTGTCAGTTGCGGGCCGCTTATTTGGGAGAACCTCTGGTAACGCAGATTATGAAGCGCCAAAATCGTCCGCAAGACTAGGTTCGCCATGAAAAAAATCTGCTGGCAGAATGAATCACGAAGTCGAGCGCCAAACGACTGAGCAGGAGGCGTTTTTTCGTTTCCCAGTCCTTGTTAGTTCGGTGCATGAAGTCTTCAAAGTCAAATCAGAAGGGATACAAAAGGCGTCTTTCTCCTGTGCAGGTTTCCGTGGCTTACGACAGCCTTATCTCCGGGCAGACCGTTCGGCACGCCGCGTTTCGCACCAAGAACGACGCGGATGTTCCGGCAATACATCGCCAGGTAAAGCGCCCCTGCTCGACCCCGAAATAATCTCCAACTGCTCAATCTAAAGATTGTGCGTTCTGGGAATGTACCAATATCGAGGTGACAGTCTGCTAAAACACGGTGGATTGCGAGGGTTTCAAATGACCGCGTTTGACGGGCATACTTCGGTCCGCCGAGCTGTTCCGCTTGTGCCATGTCTCTATCAACCGGGGTCCGTCGGCTCGACATCGGAACGGGCGTCTCGCAGCGCATGAGCACTTCGAACAATTGTGCGATTTGGTCGAACGGACACGAGGTTTGCCGACTTAGTTCTTAAAAGGTTGCTATCTTCAAACAATTTCCTACAGAAGTAATGCTGCAAGTCCGCTGGCTTCCGCATCCGTCCGGCGGCGTGGTTCCGCTTAACACCGGAACAAGCCTGAGCTTCCGCTCGCGTTTCAAAGAAGGCAACAAAATCCGACCAGATTGAGACCAAGATAGCCGTCGCCAATCTAACTTTTCTAAACACAGATTGTGAAATGCAGATTATAATTATTCTTCAGGGTCAACGCCTTTCCGCCGACGTGCGAGACATTCCGCTCCAGCCGGGCGACGTTCTTCTGCTGGACACCGGAACGAGCTTCCCCAAGCGCTTCCAAGGACGAACGTGCGTTCTCGATCATCAAGGGCGTCCCGGACACGTCACCGCTCAAGTCGAAGAAGGTGTGGATTGCGATCGGCCTTGCCACCGCCATGATTTCGACACAGGTGAGGCATAGGGATCTCCAGGTTTCAAAATTGCAGAGTTGTTGGAATGTGAGCGCACGGAGTTGCACAATGACCTGGTGGTTTCCGTACCAAGACCAGGAATCATGTGCGTGGTTTGCGATCGGCCTGGCCATCGCTATGATCTCAACACACGTGAGCACTTCAGTGTTCAAGCAGATACCAGAAGAGTCTTCAGCGCTTCTCACAGTCTAGCTTCAGTCATCGCCGGGTCAAGTGACGAAAAGGTGGAAGGTGTTTGGCTGGCCACGCTATGAAGGCCACAAAGCTTAACGGCTTGATCTTCCGAGGTTCGGAGTTTCATTTTGACGCCTCTACAGACCAGGAGCTCTTTTTGCTTCAGTATCATGCGTGGCTAGGCATACGTCTTGGCCGCTTATTTGTGAAAGCGAGCGGATGGGCAGACACCGGCTTCAAAGCACCAACCAATTCTTATCACTTTGAGATCTTTCTCCGTAGCGGCTGCTAGGTCTGGTTACATTCTGTTTCTTCGTTCATTTCCTTTCGTTCGATTTGTGAGCGGTGTGCGCAGACACCGTCCCGGAGTACACCAATCTGATCACTTGGGATCTTTTGGGCAGACTGTGCGGCTGCTTCCGGTTCCGTTGCTACTCTCTCGTCCGCTCGTTCCGTTCAGAGTGCGACCAGAGCGGCCAGAGTCCGTTCTGAAACACACGAATCTTCTTTCTGCGAGGATCATCACTGCGAAGCTTTTGCTCCTGAGCGGGCTCCTTCCGGTTCCGTTGCTACATCCGGCTCCTCGTTCCGTTCAAGCGGAGCGGAGCAGCGTCCGGAAGCCGGTCCGGAGTACAGCAATCTGTCTACCGAGGGGCTCATGACTTCCGGGCTTCTGCTTGAGCGGCTGCTCATTCTTCTAACATTCCACTCCGTTCCGTTCCGTTCAGATCGCGAGCGGAGCCGCGGACGGCCTTCCTGGAATACATCAATCTGTTCACCGCGGGGATCATTACGGCGGGGCTGATGCTTCTAAGCGGCTGCTAAAAACGGAAAGCAGGCACGTGACAGCATTGACAGCATTTGCGTTCGCATTCTTGACGGCTATTGAGGCCGGGTGCCGGGAGTCGCGCAGGCTATTGCTGACGTCCTCGCTGACGTCAGTGAGTAGTTTCAGCTCTTTTGGCTGATGAGAGTATTGCTCCGAGTCTCGGGTGGCCTACCATAGGTCGCGCGTTCTTATGCGTATTCTGTGATTTGTCAATAAGCGATCTGCGCTCAGTAGGAAATGGAGACGTACTTTTCTTTCGCTCAATTTGAACAAGCCGAAACATGTATCTCTCCGACACATTTCTACCTGTCGTTTCTGCGTTTGGTCAGCTTCATCCATGGTCTGCGTCATATTATTGCGGTCGCTTGCTTCATCTTTACGTTCTGCTCGATCATCCTGAGCAGCTCCGCGCATATCTTTTCCGTCCTGATTTTTTGTTCAGCTCGCTCCGGCTTCGTGTTCGAGATCTCCATTGAAGTGAACAGAGGACCCTTGAGATGTGGGCGGGGAAAAGGCGGCCGCGTGCGTCGCTTCCTTTTTGAACCCGAAGTTTCTACAGCGCCCTGATTTTATCCTTAGCCCACAAACCCAGATTCTTAGCACTCTCCATATCTGCATTACAGGTGACGCCATTGGTGGAAAGGCGGCCGCGTTCGTCGCCAATCACATTACGACCGCGTTCCTGACCGAGATCGTGAGAAACAACGTGGCCGGCGCGCTTATGTACCCCATAGCCGCTCGACTCGTGGGCGCGCTCGGCGTGGTGCCATCGCGGGTGACGGTCGTGGTAATGCTGGGGGCGTCAGCCGGATTCACGCTTCCGTACCGCTACAAGACCAACCTGATGGTTTGCCGGTAATCGCACTTCTTGAGCAGATACACCCCTTTGTTTCCGGCCTGGGTCTTACGGTCACGGGATCAATCGGCCTGCGAAAGGTTCCGCTTCGATCAGTCTGACAAAGTGCTGCCGCGCCGGGCTCGTCTCTGGGGCCAGCTTTCCGCATCGCTTTCTCTTGGGATGAGGGTGCGAATATTCGGACTCCTAAGGACGACAAAGATTTGCAGACTCTCTTTGCGATGTGATCGAATGTAACAAGCTGCCTTCTCCGGAGCGCCGGCTGTTCGGTCGCTGACGTGCGCGACATGAATTCCGTTTCCGTCAGACGACGCCCTTCTGCTCAACATCGGAACCAGCTGTCCGCAGCGCTTTGGAGTAGATTGTGCGTTCTCGCTTAGAATGTTAGAAGAAACCGACAAGACTTTGTGTCTGATATGTCAAGGAACGTTCTCGATCCTAAAAGCCTTCTTCAGGCTCACCGCTTGTGCGCCGACGTACGAGAGGATCCTACTTCAAGGCAGAAGCGCTCGCGCCCCCAATCAGGAGGTCCATCAAGTCATTGATATTTGAATGCTGTGGCTCTAGCGCGCCCCGATTGACCGACGAGCCTATGATCCTGCCGTACCATGGCATGCAAGACGCACAGGCTACGTATATAAGTAGTGGCATGACGTGGCCCTGGTCAGTACAGATTGACCGTCAGCTCACTGATTCAGTGGTAGCGCGGTTCTGAAAGCCACGCTGCCTCGGGCACCCTTAGTGTACTGTGTGCACGTGTGTGTCATCATCTGGCATGTATGGGGGAGCCCAGATTTAAAGCCAAGTCCAACCGGTTGCACGTATACCTAGTTAAAGCTACGCGTGCAGGCCAATGAAGCCAGGGTCCAAACTCCAACCCGCAGCGCACTGAGCGCTGTAGTATGGCCGCTGGCGGATTCGACATGGATTCCACAAAGAATTGAGTGCCGCATGATGCATCCACTCAGGCATATGCATGTCTCCTCTCACAACGTGTCCGAGGTTTGGGCTCAATGCACCCAAGTGGCTTGCATGAGATGTACCGTCAATGCGTACAGCGGCGCTCATATTTAAGATATCAGCGCGCGCTTTGCAAGCGCTGGCACGCGCCCGGCCTCGCCCCCTCAATGGCCCTCTTATTATAAATTAAAGCGAAGTAAACAAGTGACAAATTCATGACGATCTTCGGCCTTGAAGCAGAACATATACAGCACGTATCACATGTTCTTGCCGTCGAGAGTGGAAACGATCGGAATTAACGAGGACAAATCTTACGGAATAAGCGAGTACGGTGTCCTCTTTATCGTGGAACTTCAATGGCAACGGCGTGTCTGTGTTTTTTCTCTCCTCACTACATCAGATCAACCGCCGCGCATACAGCATGTAAGTTTAATTGTAGCTATTAGACTAAATTTCCTGCATTACGATCAGGGCCGTTGAGACTGCCTTTCCAACTTGTAAGTCAGAAGTTCTTCCAAGCGGGCTGATCTACTGATATTGCAAGAGATCTCTCCTACGACTTTGCCGTCAACTGAGCTGACGGCCTATGCGACGTGACGTATACTCAGCGCTCTAGTCAAGGTGGTAAGACGGTATTCGACAGTGGGAGCATGTTCAAAACCCTAAAGCTTGATGTAGAGTTCATGGATTTGCAATCCGTTTTTTC